TTCAAACACAGCCCCCGGGAGTTCGTGTTTCCCGCGTATGGCCCTGTGAGGGTTCCTGGCGCGAAAATCGCTACCTCGGGAACCAAGAAAGCTGGGAAGCTGAAACTTTCAGGAAATGTTCCCAACTCATCTACAACTTAAATTTATCAAATCAGCCCCCGTTATGAGTGGTCACCACGTACGATCCCGTGAAATTTTCTGGCTGGAATTTGGGTAACTCGGGAACTGAGAAAGCTGGGAACCTGGGATATCAACGGAATGTTCCCTGTCCAAGTATAGTGTGGATAATTAACTTCCCGAAATTCGAGGACCAGTGTGTACAGGAGGTTGCTAGCGGAATCTCGGGCGATCTTATTGCAGCATGAAACACTGCAAAAACGCAAGATCGCACGTGGCTGTCCCATGCGCGTGGCCAATGATTATTTTTTGCAATGAACTGGGCATTTGCTGACCACATGTGCCTACTAGTACGTTTTCACTTCCGGGCCCCGTGTACCTGGAACACGCGCCTCAACTAGAACCACGGATTTCGTCCTGAGCCGTTTGTACCTACTTGCGAGTCTATTCTCCATAATTTAATTGCCACGTTATGTGGCATTCCAAAAAATACCGGAGCTTCTAAGCCACCAGTCCATTTTGACTCGTCATTTTAGTTCAATTGTCGCTTTATGTAGCATTCTAAAAAATACCAGAGCTTTTAAGCCGCCCATGTGTTTACTGATCGCGCTTCGTTGACATCCGAGACATACTTCCAAACGGAAGCAACCCGGGAATATAAAGTGAAGTTCTGCGCTTGTGCCCCCTATACGTACGAGGTGTGCAAGCAATGTCCAGTTGATTACAGGAACAGCGTAAATCTTTGCTTCTTTGTTCCATCTCTATGATTACATTATAGCACAGAGATCACTGTTTCCCTAAGACCATTGCTTTTTGCCTTGCAACTGCGATACATTAGTATGCCACCATTTTCTTCCTAGCGAACCAAACAGACACTGCATTACATTCTGTCAGTCAAGCACTGAGGTTAGTTCCACAGAAAGGCGGTCAGTCAAGGCCCCAAGTAGATATGGAAAGTACAAGTCTACATGCAACCCAGTCAACTGGTGTCGCGACGTCCGGGTATTTGTGTGGCGTCTGGATATTTCAACTCGGCACCCAAGCAAGCTCCGACGCCAAAATTTTGTCGATAGTTTCCCCAGCCAAGT